ATAAATTAGTAAAAAATTGTATATTAAAATCACTATAATAATTCATTATTCAAATAATATAATTTAAATGCTTTCATTTAAATATTAATATGCCTTACAGAAATACTATTATCCTCACAGCGAGATTTTAATATTTAATGCAAATTGTAATAATACATTTTTTTGGTTAATTATCTTTAATAATGAACCACTGTAATCAACCAAGAAAAGTAAAAGGTTAATCCCTTCTACCCTCGAAAAGTTTTACGTTTCACAGTAAATATAATCCAAAAATACAATTAAAAAAATGTATCCGTTAGCCGTCCGCGTTTTGTTTTCTAAAATTACTGCGCTGATTATTTTTGAAATTTGGTATCAGAGTAAGAAATAACCCAAAGATTATCCTCCCTACTCAACATTAACAACCGCACTTACGCTTCAAAATGTCGGCCGAAATACCTTTACCGCTGTAGATTATGGCGCCGAAACGGCTGTAACGATTTTAATGAAACTTGCCGAAAGTCTTCATTCACTTTTAAACCCTTTAAATTTATGTATAGAACATATATTTCTTTCGAAAAGCTGGAAATGTTGCAATTATCTAAAACACCATTGGAAAAAAAATCATCGAAATAGGACTACTTGGTGCAGAGATTTGGTATTTCAACATTTTGCGTGTTTTAAAGCTAAGTTATTTCATTTGTTGGGTGGTTGTTTTTTGTATAGTAAAGACGTAAAACCTGTTTGTCATCAACACCGTTAATTAAGATTATATAGTATTATATCTTCTAGTTGTGACTAATAGGGATAAAATAAATTTAAAAAGACGTAAAATTTTAAGGTTAACGTTAAAGGTTAAGTTTAAAGTTGTTTAAGGTTATTAAAGTTTAGTTATTTAAAGTTAATTGTAAAAATAAAAAAAGAGTGCTGCGTGAAAGGCTTAAAGACTTATAAAGATTTCTTCTTCAGAGAGAAAACATATTATGTTGCTCAAGATTTTTTCGTCATTTTTCAAAGCAGCCGATGTATTTGCTGGTATTCCTCTTCTGTTTAATTCTGTGATGTAAAAGGCAAAATTCTCGAAGACCACTGTTATTCTCTCTCCACACTTCCGACAAAACGGCGGGTTTTCTTTAGTAATTTTTTTTTCAATTTATTTATTGAGTGAAGCCATCTGTCACTTGGACATTAGTTATAGTGAGGTAGGATAACATTCACACTACATGTGCAAAAAATATAAAATAAATCATGCAAAATAACAATAAATAATAATAAAAAATTATATACAATAAATAAAATAAAATAATCCAAAAATAAGAAAATTAAAACTAAGCAAAAAAAAACGCATGCCTACCTTTATACACTATTTACAATCAGGCGAGGGGACTCCGAGGAACGCTTGTCCCTCCAACTATGGTGGGAAAAGCTGGACTCCAGGAGAACCCTTTAGTAATTAAGTGAAGGTGTGTAAGCCCGGTATGACCTATTCTCAGCCGCGTAAGGACAATTTCCTCTCTGCGTTTACCGCGACTGGAACTGCTCCATGGCTTCACTTCATTTTTTATCACCTTTAGTTTATTTGGATTTCATTTATTTTATAACTGTAATAATACATAATATTTCTACGGAGTCAATCACGACTGTAATTTGAAGAAGAATTTTATTTTCTAAATTTGTTTTAACATAAAATAAATAATAAAAAAGTCTTAAGGAGGCAATTTTGTATGAAATTTTCCGGATATGTGGTAAGGAATGTAGTGTGATACGCCACACATATTCAATATATAATTATTTGGAAATAATAAACCATTGTGTAATTACTTGCGCTTTGTTTTTTACTAATATATTATAAACATCCAGAAGTAAATAATGAGCGGAATCAGTACTACAGGTTAAAACTACTAAACTAGCTGTTAATGACAATATATTTCATAGCTAAGGCTTACTCAGTGAATCGATTTAAAGTGGGCTATAGGATTCTCATTTAATACGATTTCCTCCCCTCCTAGCCTAATCCAATATTCAAATTTCCCGATCTGGAAGTTTCCTCCAAACCTTATAAGCGACGAGGAAGATTATCTCGCTAACTTTCAGCACGCGGCCCTTAATGGATTTCACTCTCACTATTTAGTAGTACATATTTAACGTCATTCCAAGGTTTCAGGGTTATGCATTTTCTCCTCACCTAATAATATTTTGCTTGATTAACAAAAACAATATGTATTCATTATTATTTTTTTTATTTATTTATTCAGAAACATTACAATCTGTCGCAATCAAGGACATCATTTTTAAAATTAATTTTATTCATTTATTCATATATCATTTTTGTTTTAAGAAAATATGTTATTATTACACGTTTTTCAGAAATTAGTCGGGAGTGCGGCCAATATGTATAAAATATTATATCATATAATAGTGTGCTTTCTGTCCCGAAATTTAAAAATTAGAATCTATAAAACCATTATCCTACTTACAGTTCTTTATGGATGCGAAACGTGGCCACTTGCATTAAGGGATGAACAACGTCTTAAGGTTTTTGAAAATAAAGTATTGCATAGAATATTCGGACCGAAGAAGGATGAGTTAACCGGATAGTTCAGACGGTTACACAACACCGAATTGCGTGAACAGTATACGGTTAATATAATTGAGGTAATTATATCCCGGCGAATCAAATGGACTTGTAAAATTGTTGGGCTTATAATGAAAGAATTCCTAAAAGGTTAATAGTTGCTGTACCGAATGGTAAAGATCCGAGGTGTAGACCGAAGTGAAGGTGGGAAGATTGAGTTAAAGCCGATCTAAAGAGACTTGATGGCGAATGGTGAAGGGACGTGTGTAATAAGCGATTGGTGGTGTCGGCATCGAACCTTCGGGTTCGTTAAGCATTTTATTATATTATATATAATAGTGTGTTTATTGCATTGTACTATTATATAATATGGTGTTTTATATATTAACCGCACTCTCGACAATCTTCCGAAATCCGAATCTACGATCAACTATCTCCACAACATTATGTAATTATTGTTTAACGAGGTTTAATGAAGTTACGTATTCCAACTATTGTAAGGGATTCTCCTATTCGTTGATAAAAATAAAAAGTTAACAAAGTGTATTCTTTATTTTTATAATTAACTTAAGGATAGTCAACATGAAGAATACTCATTGCATAAAACAATTTTTTTTTTCTACTTTTAAGTTTAATCCAGCAATGTTCTGTTTAGAGAACATCATATTGAACCAGAAGTTCACTATATTGTCGTGAGGATGAGCAGTCAAGGGCAGCGGCAAGTGGATATCGCCGATGCAGTTGGAGTTACTATATATCTTTTTTGGTCGTATTTCTGCCAAGTAATATTTTAGAACTATTACTTCTAAGTTATAGCTTTTTAGTTATTTTGAAAAACATATATTAGTTAGGTAAAAGTTATCAAATTTATTGTAGTAACACCCATAACATTATTAATAATGATCGATATTTCAAATGAAAATTTGTAAAAATTTTATTGGAAAGCAAGTATTCGATCACACATTAATAACTTTTTTGTCTCCCACTCTAGGGACGGCTCGACCGCAGTACTTGCGCCTCATTTTTGAGTAGTCTATGACAGATTCGTTTTTAACGTCCTCAACTTCGTATGGACATAGTTTGATTCACGAGTACTAGTAGTGTTGCCCAAAATCGGTCTTGGTCTTGCACTTTGCAAGACCAGGACTGCTAAACAAAATCGATTTTTTTAATAATAATTAAAGCATAATAGTTACTAATACTTGACAATCTTAGTTACTTTATGTTAATAATTGGTATAACCAATATACTTTTGCATTTAACTCCTCTAATTTTTCATTTGGGCGTAGTTAGGTTTCTCCTATCTAAAAAATTAAACTAATATCTCTGTAGTAATAAGCTAATAAGTAATTGCAAGACTGCTGCGTGACTCTTGCGCAAGACCAAGACCATGACCAAGAGTGAGTTTGCAAGTAACCTGCTGGTGTGACGATCACTTTGTTTCTGAGCTTCTTGCGATTTCGAAGATTTGTTGGCTTAAAAAGATGAAACTAGAGTTCTTTTTTTGTCTCTAACCATCTGGAATTCGGCAGTATTGCAGCTTTTTTTCAGCCAAGTCCATTTTACAGTGAACAGGAGGTTTCGATTTTTTTAAAGACCGTTTAATATTATATTCCCACTTACCACTCTCTTCTTTGCTTTGTCTAGCTCCATAGTAAGCAGTACCTGCCCCAGAGCAAGGGACCCCGGCCGGGCATTTACCCAGAAGCGCCGGGCTGGAACTGCCCACCACTTATAGCACATGGTGAGGATGAATAGTGAAAGACTGAACAAGAAAAATTTTTGGCAAAGTTTGCAGCTATAAAAGTATGGGGGATATGTAAAACAAATAAAAGAGGAACTAGACAGGCTAAAAATCACGGATAAAGATTGCTTGGATAGAGAGCTTTTTAGGGAAAAACTGAAAGGGGTTGAGGTTCTTGTAGGTGGGACGAGGAAGAAAATGGACTAAGAAAGAGCGAGAGGAACAGTCCAGGAGGATGAGAGAGTATTGGAGTAAGAGGGAGGCTGAGGGAGTGAAGAGGAAACGGAAATGATATTCGCGTGGTCCTTGCTGGCCGTTTCGTGGGGAAAAAAAAAAGAAGCTCATTCATACTGTAATCTATATCCAAAACGCAACAAATCAACTCGACAACTTTTTCGGTAACAATTCAATCTTTATTACCTTCACTGTAACGTACAGTTTTTTAGATCACAATTTGCAGGTTTTTAAATTAGAGGTTTTTACAAAAGGGCATAGAGAAGAAATGAAACATCGTAATTTTCATTTTGTGGGATCAGAATATGCGCCAGGACAAGATTGACCAGAAAACCTCAAAACCTCATTTTTCATAGAAATTGTCCTTACAGGCCTTTGCAGTGGGGCTGTCGATACATTAACCAATATATTTACATTGAGAAATTTCATTCTGCATCATGCTCTCCGAAAATCGGAACCAATGGCTGTATGAAGGAATTACAACCCTTTTCGCAGCTGCCACGGACGTTCACTCCAATAAATCCCCTAACAACGACACCCTTCGACGACGCCCCGATTGAAAGGAGATTACCGCAGTTTGTCACAGGGGTCCATTTTCCTCAGGGCCAGGGGACCCATCCGGGATAAAAGATGGTTCCGGGTTTAAAGTGACAGAGATTTAGGGTCGCCGAAAATATATTATGTAGATGATGTACTTATGTGTTGTACTGATGATTTAGTTAATTTACTGATGTGGAAAATATTTTTCTGAACAATTGAGTGACTAAATATTCTAGAAAATTATAAATCCTGCTCAGGATAGAAAATTATATACAGCTTCCATAAACTTGAAAACCGTGGACGTCACTACATTAGTTGAGGCAAAATTGTAATTTTCCAATGATTTCTATAAACAGGATATAATTAAACAAAATGTTTAATATTTGGTCACAATTCCTACATTTAGAACAAAATTCCAGTATTATTTAGAATATAATTTCAATTGTTAGAACTAAATATTTCTTTTAAATATTATGATGCGTTTTGGTAAAGAAATATTTTTAAATTCCCAACTTACTGGATCCAAACTTTTCCTTTTCTGTTGCGAATTTTAAAACTTATAATAATAATTTGTATTCTATTCAAAAAGCGTTGTGGCAATAAAATCCCAATATTTACAATTAAAAGGTACCTATTGGTTTTTAATTTTAGTAACTCTGAGTCACTATAAAAAATAAAATAAATAAATAAAATTAAAAAAATGGTTGTACTAAAAGGTTTCATTACGATTTTCGTAGTTTGATGTAGGTTCTCAAAATTCAAATTTACTAACTTTTTCAAATTTCAAATTATGTTGGAGATGATAATTCTCGAACTGTCCCAGCTTAAAAATTGAAGTATTCTAACTTATTCTACTCCAACCATGAGTTTGTTTCAAAATACGTTGTTCATCCCAAACGTATAAGTTTTGATGAACATCCTTCAAGGTTATTCGGAAATGTACTACCAATGATCGAATTTTAGAAATTCGAAAACTATTGTGTTAATTTTCTTTGAAAGCTTTCTTCTACTAATATATGTACCAAAAATATGTAGCTGTACGCGGGTAACCTTTTTCCTAAATAAGCCTGTACCGGTAACTGTGATCGGAACCTTACAAAAATGGATGTAAAAAATAACTAGTAGGCCCGTGCGAAAATTTTGCACAACATATAGTTACCAAATGCCAAATTAATAAGAAAATAAAAAAATGCAACGTATCAAAAGAATTAAAAAATCAAATGTTAGTTTATCGATAATATAATCGCCAAGAAAATAAAAATAAGTTTAAATCTTCATTTATGTTTGAAACCAACTGTTGTGCAAAATATTCAGTAGCTGTATCTCGCAAAAAATTGCGCCAATTTCGATGATTTTTTTCACCTTTTGTAGGGAATTTAGTAATCTTTTAAATACCATGACATAAGGAAAAAAAGAGTAATTTTTTTTTAGTTATTCGCAATAAAGTATTGTTTCATTCATACTTGTTGCTGAAATTCGGGTTGATTGGACAATTATGCCGTCTGAAAGAGAAGGAAGCTTCGAAATAGGGCTCAATCTTCACATTTGGTGAAAAATTAACGATATATGGGATTGCCGATCAAAAACACCATCGATAAGGTAATATAAACTACCCCTCTCTCGATCATAGTCCTCAAGTCGACGAATGAGACATGAATTCAATGAAGTACTACAATTAATGTAAGGTTGTGTGGATGGACCCTATGCGTCGAAAATAGCTACGTTTTGGGGCTTAAAAACGCAAGAATCCCGATAGTTTCCGTATGTACCACTCCGGAACTATTCGGGTTGGCTGACGCATCAAATCTCAAAACTAATTTGTTCCTGAACGATTCTACAGACCTACCACTGTTTCCAGTATTGAAGCCTAGTAAAATGTTTTATCGACTTTATTCATTTTATACAATAAAAACAAAAGTGGGGAATACGAATCGCTAACCCCCCGTGAAATTCTGAATCCAACGTACCCCATTCCATGATTAATTGAGCATGACAGAGCTTATATTTGGTACAAAACCGATTTCGATCCTTACTGTAATAATATTTCATAAATATTTCATAAATATTTTAGTAAATATTTAATATTTTTATGCTGAATGTTATTTAATTATTTCTATTTGTTTCTAGGATGAAGGCAGTATAGGGGACAACTGTACCAAGAAAGAGAAGGACAAAAGTGCCAAAAGAAAGTCCTACCTGAACAGGTCCCACACCTCCGAACCGATTCCTCCGACAGGTAACTGAACTCCGGCAATTTAAATAACAAAATAAAAATTGGCGGAATAATTTTCTTTCCGATTCTAAGGAGGCATATGAAGTTTTAATGTCTTATTATTTTCTGTCGGAGTCACCTCATAGATTAATCATAAAAATTTATTTTTAAATACATCTTTTTATTAAGAAAGAATACATTTTGCCAGACTTAAAGGCACTAAGTATTAGAGCTATGTGAGATACTTTCCTTTCATGTAGAGTGTCCCGTAAGTAGAGAGAAATTTTATTGGAGTGATAGCAGATCTCATGAACTACAATAAAGTTCATATAAACAATGGAGCAATTTTCAGCAGAAAAAATCCAAGATTTGTGTTTGTTTTTTTAAGTAAGCAATGGTTTTCATTTAATAAGAAGTGATAACTAAAGATAGCTATCTTAATCCCATATAATGTGGTGTTGAGAACAGAGTAGTAGTACGAAGCTTAAACATGACCGCTTGTACTGCATAGAGTGCATTTTAAGGGAGGATCGGGAATTGGGAGTACTGTGGTTATTCATAGTTATGTCATGTGTTAGTCTCACTGGTGTCAATGTCAATTTTCTCAGTCTAGTAGGTTTTTGATATATGTCTGCCATCTAATAGGTTTGTGAGTAAGTGGAGTAAGTGTTTTAAAAATTGGGTTTATCGAGTATTTAAGGATATCAAAGAATTTGATATGCCTGCGTGTAATAAAGTCGCCCACCTTTGGTAATTCGAGGGTGGTATGTACTTATGTACCTGTTTTTTGTTAAGTCCTGTGTCTCACTATTGTTCTTAGCACACCGTTCTGAAATGTTGGAGCTTCTTCGATGTTGCCGTTGATTTAGGAGTGGTGCTCCATAAAGGAGTGCTGGACAGGCCTAAAAAAATGTGTCATTCATTAGTAAAAATTGTTTTTAATATAATCAACGGGGGAAAAACAGTTATATGGTGAAATTTGGGATGGCTTATGCAAATATATTTTTATATTTCCTTTGCTTCACCACCCCTCCCTTTTTTTTTTTCTTTAAGGGCATAGAGAGAAAAAAAAGAGGAATTGATACATGCCACGAATGTTGAAAGTGCGTATTTTTTTATTACAAACTGGAAAGAGCGTTCTATCTAAACGTTTTAAGAAACATTTTCAGGCGGTTTGCTTTGTCGGAGTTTGCTATCGAGTGTTTCTCTTGAGAGCTCTCAAAAGCATTGTTTCCCTATCTCGGAATGCCGCCACATTCAAAATGCCTCTGTATGAGAAAGTCCTATCAAAATTTTCACATAGATATCGTTATAGTCACATAGTCGTCGATAGATATTGTTAATAATCTAACAAATATTGTTTAAATCAGTAAATATCATTTGTAATTTTTTTAAAGTAAATTAAATAATAATAGAAATTGTTGAATAGCCAAAAATATAAATCTTTGTTGATCATATGGGCTGATATATAAATTTTCAATAGTAGAAAAAATAAAAACTAATTGGCCACGTGCGAATAGTAAATTGATCAGCAAACAAATGAAAAGACAATAAGGGAATAAACTATTGTAACCTCACATAAGATTCAATTCTTATTTCCACGTTAAATGAAATCTACCAAGGAAAATAAAATAATTTTCATTCATGCTTTAAACTAATACGTTTACTAATTACAATAAGTTGTATCTTTGCTAATAATGGTCCGATTTCGATGATTTTTTTTTTTGCAGAGAATTTAGCAATCTGATCAGTCCCTCCAGAAATGACAATTTATTGTTCACTGAACATGTTATTTGCGACATTAATGATGAATATATAACGGAGGGTTCATCAATACTTGAAAATGACCCTTAGTATGGTCGAAACGTCGAATTAAATAGCGTATCAATAAAACGTTTGGTGATAATTGGCGTAATTTATATAAAAATAAAAGATAAAATTTAATCTTTAAAAGACCCGACTACACAAATTGGAAAATCCTGTCCATCACTAAGGTAACGTTCTTCAATATCTAATTAAATCACCTTGGTAGATTGTTTTGGGAATTAATTTCTTAAAATATTTGAACATGGTGTATCAAATGTCTTCCATTACACATTACGGCTATTAGCAAGTAGATTTCGTCCCATGTACTAGTGCATGTCAACAATCGAAAGAATCTTGAGTTTTGTTCAGAGGAGGAAGGTATTCATTCGATTTCTACAGCAAGTCCAAGTTTTCGTAGACAGCCATTTCCTTTACAATATACCAAGCATTTTAAGCAGACAAGCAAATAAATCTCCTTAAGATGGATATTTAAATTGCTAACCTATGGCACTAGTGTTCGGGACCAACTGAGGTCTATCATGTTTTATAGCAGCTGTGAATAGACTTGGAGTCGGGAAAACGTTGAAGTATAACAAAAATCTTGTAAAATTGGTATCTTTAATGGGCTAAGGCCGCCTGTCTAGGAACAGTCCTTGCAAGGTATTGAACGAAGGAGCTTCATTTACAGTAACGTTAGATGTTTATCTTAACATTTAGAAAAAAAAAATAGAATTTTTAAAAATACGTCTGTATTTTTCAAACTATCGCATGGCAATATATAAGACAAAATGTATCATTCGCCCTATATTTTGAAGGCCTTGGTTTGACGAATGAACGAGGATCATACAGCTGAAGCCACCTGTTTGTGAAGTCGGATCTAATTGTCACACTCCATTAGCTGGAAACTCCACTTCAAAGGAGCGGCTCTCGGGCAGTGGGTCGATATTGTCTGCGTCCCACCTCCTCCATGTCTGCCGGTCCTGGTGTCCTCTCTCCGTTGGCAAAGCAACCGATTAAAAGATTACTAAATCTATATAAATAAATAATTGTAATATATATACATATGTATAATAATAATCATTTCCTCCTATAACATTTATCCCGTCAATATAATGAGAACAATCGATAAAAATGAGGCACTATATGACATTAGTTGATTTTCTATACATAATGATTATTCAAACTCAGTAATACCAATGCGGAAAACTTACTGCCAAAAACTAAACACAGGACATTCTCGATAGTCCCATTCCCTGGTGATCCGAAAGTCCCGGTAATCTGAACAAGAAAGAAAACAAAGTTAAAGTTGACTGACGAGAGGCTCTGTTTTCCTGTACATATTACTGGGATTGCTTCCTGTCGTAGGGTCGAAATTGTATTGTGTTGTTACTCTAAACGGAAAAATTGAAACGAAGTTCATCCAGAAGTTGGAAGGTGTCCCGAAGATATATTAGCTGAAAAGACTATTTTTTTCTTTAATAATTTTTTACAGGATGACAAAGCAGGTTTTAATATACACATATATATATATATATATATATATATATATATATATATATATATATATAGAGAGAGAGAGAGAGAGAGAGAGGTAAGTCAAATAAACAACATACAGTCATTTAATAATTGCTGGCAGTGGACGAATGGTACAAAGTCTACTACCGAAATCAACAAAATCAGAGGCTTGACGTACATTAAATGGCCATTTTCAAAAAAATATTTGTTAGCAAGGTGTTTATATTCAACTGATAATACATAATACATGGAACACGTTATGCAGTCTACATTTTCCCTATTTTAGTTTCAACTATGAACTAAGACTTGACCATTGGTAAACCACTTTTTTCCAATATAGCGGAACGGTTCTGTCTATTCAGCCTGGCACTATGGTGTTGAGCAGTAACTAGAATAAAAGTCGCAATCTGATTGAATGTGAAACGGGCGTGTTGCGTAAAACACAAACAGTGAGGTACATAAATCCGGTTCTTGACTGAATTTGAGTATGTACTTTGAAATAAGTTGTCGGAATATAAGTAAAAGAATAGAATAGAACAAAATGGAATAGTCAACTTTATTCTGGGAATTGATAATAATGGTATACTGACAAATAAAAATTAATTCTGGCTATAATACCCATTACAATAAATTAATAACTAAAAAATAAGTAATAAATATAAGTATGTACAGAGTTATCAAAGATGTATAAAAAAACAAGAAAATATACTTGCTACTAAAATAAAATGGTAAAATGAAACAAATAAATAAGAAAAAGGAGAAAGTTGAATTAATTTTGTAAGAAAAACAGCATAAAAAAAATTATAATTTACATCTGTCATTTAAAAAGATTAAATAAATACTCATTACTGTAAACAATTAATAAAATAATAGTAACCTATATAGAATGGCGTAGATTAAAAAAAAATATATAGTCAGGAGTGTATTCAAGATTAGTAAAAATGAAATACATCTCGAAGAAAGAAAAATGTTTACGAAAAGTGATACGAAATATTTTTCATAAATTAAATAACTGTAGTTTTAAGAGACTTGTCCACTCCATTATGCAAACGAAAAATGTATACAATTTTCAATACAATAAACAATAATTATTTTATCCGGCATTAGCCAGAAAGCATCATAATAAATAAATAATCTTCATTTATTATTATAGCCGAGATTTCGGCCAAATTATGCAGGAGTGCAAGGTAATCTTGTGTATAAGCTAGGTTTGCCAGTTTTTCAAATTTCCAAATAGGACAGTACAGTGTGGAAATTGTTTTAAACCAAAAGCTTTCTTATGTTTGTTTGTTTTTTTGTCGTCGCCTTTAAGGCTATACGGGGTTTTCCCGGGCAAGGGGGCGAGGGCGAGGATTTAAAAGACTTCCCTGGCACCGGAACGCGAACTCGTGACTATTTTTTAATCACTATATCTTATATCAGGTTGCCGGGCGATTGTGGTGTAGAACTTTCTAATGTATTGCACCTGTAATAAAAAAAAACGCAATACTTTCTTATTTTTATAAACAAGATTATTGCACCCAGTGTTAATTCTAATAATGTTATCCTACATGATTACTCAAAAAGTAGGTGTACAACATTACATTACAATAATTATGAATTTAAAAGTAATTATTTGTTTATAAAAAAAAATAGTCAGTGTAGTTTCCACGTTTATATTCTTGTTTACTCTTGGCACAAGGTTACAGTTTTATATTTTAAAAAATGCGATTTTAGAATCTTGTTTATAATAATTTTATCAAGACAATATTTCTCTCATCTTCTGTCTGGATTTAAACCAAACCGGAACTAAGCGGGATGTGAAATCCAGATTAAAATTACATAAAGTACAAAATCCACCGCTAATGAGAAGACTCTTGTTAATCAACGTATGATATTAAGGCTTGTGAATTTTAGGACTGTACTGTCATATGTAAGATGTCTGGGAAGCCTTTTATTTGAAGAAACTTATAAATTATTATTTGAAGAAAAATAATAAGTAAATTCGCATATTGAATGAAACAAAAAGCTATGAGAAGGTTGGAAAATAAATGGATGAAAAATATCTTTGTGAATCAAAGTTACCGACAAGCAGGTAGATCTACGAGGAAGATTGGCTCTCCAAAAATGGAAAAATAATTATTTTTTGTCAATCAATATGTAAATCATCAATGCTAAGTACTTATATAATTACAATATATTCTCTCTTAAACTATAACGAACATAAATATGCTAAATGAATGCACAGGTCAAGAAAAAAATATCTCCTAAAAAATAAAAATTTATCTCATAAGTGCATTCATGTTTCTATTATGAAAGATTCAATTTTTTTATAAGGCCTTCAAGCACCACTTAATAATTATAATTTCATAAATGTTCAAAGGTAACAGCTATTTAACATAAAATAATAATAATAAATAAATAAATAAAATACAAAACAAAATAAAGTCCTAAATAAAATAAATTATTGAAGGAAGCTAGTCGACTGTTCTACATATCATGGGTGATAAATATTCAGGACGCAGTCATTATAAAAGCATGAAAGCCTACATACATGAAATCCTTGAACATATGAACATACGTACATGAAAGCCTTCAGTGCTCGAACCACTCCCTGAAGATGACCCACATGTTCGGGTTGAAACTTTGGCATCAAAAATTTTTATAATGATTGCGTCCTGAATATTTATTACCCTAAATAAAATAAGTACTACTTTAGAGCTGTTCTCTATCATATGTAATAAATGACAATCACCTTATAGAACGGATTTTTTAATATATTATTAAAATATCAATCTTGGAGTATCAAAATCTTTAACGTAGAGTATATTACACTAGAGGGAGTGCATAGAACTACAATGTCTACTTGCTAAGAAAAGAAAACAATTATCTTTTCCCAGAGTGCATTTTCTACGCCTTTTCTTCTCTTTTCCTTCAGCGATCTACAGTTCTATAGAAGAGCCTTGTCCGAGGAAATTCTCTGTTCTTCTTCGGCCTTGGTTTTATATTGAAATGTTCCAGAGCGTGCAATGGGGGAAAACGAAATTGGAGCTAGGATACAATATCACCGACTTAATACTTTATATGGTCCCAATGCTCAGAAGCAGGCCAAGGGCGGCCCCCGTAGCCTACCCGAGACTTATGTGGTTATGGGGTAGCCACAACTTCTTTTTAAGTCTTGAAATGGAAATATACCATGCGAATATTTGCCTTTGTTTTTAGATATCCTTAGTTTATAATCATGGGCTCTCTTTAGAAAGGTGCCCTAGATATCTAGCAAGTTATCGTAAAGCAGAATATATTTCTTTTAGTTTTTCTTTATTAGCTACTAGCTTTACCCGGCCACGCGCTGCTGTGGCTTAGCCTGGCAAAATGAAAAAGAAAGAAAATAGAAAGCATATATGAGTGGATTAATACCAAAGAACATCTGTCATTTTTAAAAAGTTGGGAAACAAATTGGCTTCAATTCAAACTAATTCTAATGATTTTTTTCTCATGATTCAAATTGAACATTCATAATCATCTGAGTGAATACGCCGTCATTCATAATCATCAGAAACAGTCTGAGTTGAACTTATAAAACTAAAATAAAAATTAATATAAAGAAGGTATAATAGTATTGACCTACATAAGGAGAATCATATAACTTCTTCAAATGATAATTTCAATTACTGTAATAATTATAAAATTTTCGATTAATCAATAAAAAAAAAAAAAATGCTTGCCTACCTTCGGTAGTGAGGAAGCAAAAGGAAATGGCATTTTCTGAAGGGAAAGCAGTAAATGTTTAAAACTCTATAACTCTGCAACGAATAGACATACGTCCGATTTCGATGATTTTTTTTTTTTTTTTTTCATTTTGTCAGAAATTCAGAAATCTTTCATATAAATATGGGTATTATCAGTCAAAAATTGTGTACTTTTTTAGTTATCGTCAAATAAAATATTGAATTCATCGTAACATTTTTCAGCTTGTTTTCGAGAAAGTATGTTATACACATAAATTAAAAGGGTTTCAAGGGAAGACTTGCCAAGTTTCGTTAAAATCGGTAAAGCCATTTTGGCTACGTTTATAGCGACACATTTTTTGCGGCTTGAAAGAAAAACATTTACATTTTTATTTTTTTTTACATATATAAAATTATCGTAAGACAGAAGTACTATGCCAGAAACCTTCCCAGGAGTGTACGGAACAACTTCCCAAAGTTTCATGGCGATCGGATGAATGGTTTAGTAATGCACAAAGGACAAACAGACAGACATACATTCATTTTTATATATATAGATAGATGACTCCAACTATGACTAGAAGTTATTTACAGGTTACCAATATTTTCTTAACAGTAGAGGGAAATCTGTATTTACTATCAATAAATAAATATCAAATCACACTAACTGAAATCGAACTGCATTTGTTTCCACATCTTACTTATTGAAATAAAATCAAAGAGTTTCTCTGAGAAAAATTATTGACGTTCTTTATTTCCATTACATGATTAACTTATTCAAGATAATATCAACGTTGCAGAAATATCTGAGAGTTATTTTCTCCAAAGATTTGAAGTTACAGCTGTTAATTTTCAAATTTTCGTAACCTAAATAATTAAATATTAAGTATTTCTAGCGCTAGGTTAATAAATATCGTACAAAAACGTCTGAAGTCCACAGGCAACCTCGAAGCCGCAGGTTTCCCTTCTATGGTTTTAAGATATATTGGAGTAATTGTACGCTAAATTTTGTCGTTTGAATTTCCAATTCTATTTTCAAAGTTACCTGATTCTAAAAAAACAAAACAAGTCTCGTATAACGATCTGTGTGTGATCTGAGTACGATTTCTTTGATAAAGTAAAGCAATGTAAAACGGCTTGTGATAGATCAATGTAAAAATTTCAATACCTTGTAATATTGCTAATCACAAACTTTTTGCCATAGCCTAAATTTATCAGCCAAAATTTTTGTTAAAAGTAGAGGAAATAGTGAAGCTTGTGTGATGCGGGCAACAGATTTTCTTTTCTTTTTAACACCAGGATATGAACACGTAATTTTCGCGCTACAGTCTATAGAAAAACATGTTTTTCACTCATTGCGCAGCCGCTATTGT